CACTGTGAGAGTTAAGTGTCTTGCCCAAGAACACAACACAATGTCCCCAGCCAGGGCTCGAACCCGGACCGCTCTCTCCGGGAACGAGCGCACTAACCACGAGGCCACCGCGCCTTCCATAGTACAGTAGGAACTAGTGATAATATTCATACAGCACAATGATTTGTGTTCGGCCTTTAAAACATTCCAGATAAAATAACTTACCAACCAAAAAGACTATACGAACTAACAAATAAAAGCAGCACCCTATACGGATAAAGAGGCCCGTTTCCAATGAGCACTCTCCCCTCCCCTTCCCTAAAGAAAGCTGTCAAAATTAATCAACGCCGTGGGACGCGAAGCACACATGTACGCAGTGCGGACCAATTTTAAATCAAGAAGTCGATGTCCTCTGTTTGTCATGTGAGTTGATGGAGATTGACATTATTCACATTTCCAATCGTTAGCCATACTTCAATAATGAAACGAAAATATCTTAAATACCCACTTAAGCTGAATAAATAAAAAACGTTTTAGCATATAACCTTTGCTTGATTAGACAGATGGCGAACGCATCCAAGCGATCAGTACGATTCAATAAAAAACAGAACGCTTGAAGTCTTCAGACAAAAACGGATTAACTCTAAAGCCGCTTACTAAAATAAGAATTGTATTCAAAAAAGACAGCAACAAATGGGTCTAAACGTAGCTGAATGACTCCTAAGTGATTCACGGTTGAAAGGATCACCAAACGCACTCGAGTGAAACCAACGCAGATTTTATTTAAGGTAGCACAGTCTCTTCTCGCATGAGATGACAAGCGGGTTCTTTGCATTCTGAAAACAACAAGAAATCGATTTGATCACACGCTAGTTATGTTGGAAAACACACCGGTCCAGCACGTGATGCGTGTTTTATTTTTTCCAAACCCCCCTGCTGTCCGAATAACTCAAAGTATTCAAAACGTCATTTTCTTGATTTGATGAAGATCAAAAGTCCACTTGTCTGGAACAAAAAGGAAATAGCAAAACCGTGCCGCCACAGACGTCCTTGGGGTCAAAATATGTGTACAATTTTAAAGAATCAACGGGGATCAAAGAGTGGTTTTAAAATCTTTTGTTTCAGTAATTTTTTTGTGACCGGCAAATAAGGCTTTTCGTGTGTTGTTTAGTTCGAAATTTGTGACACAGTTATCTTTTCACGTGGAATAAAACAGAGAGAAATGAAGGCAAAATAATGACCTTTAGTCGAGAACGCTTTGATGACACATCGGGTCGACTAATAATATCGTTGAAATAATTTCGAATACTCTCCAATATAATGGCAATTCAAGGCGATATCTAGAGCGCGTTCCTCTTTTAGAGAGACAAATATTTTTTTTGGAAACCTTAAAATCTGTGGAATTCTAAACGCAGAGCGATACACTGATCAAAGTTTTTACGGTTTTCCTGAATTGAAGATCACAAGTCATTATCTGCTCGCGGTCTAACTGAAGTAGGAACAAAAAGTATGCCCAACATTGTCTACGTTTCCTTCATCGAATATTGATTGCGTTTTAATATAGCGTGGTATTTTTATACATGAATGTTTTCGCTATCTTGAACGGAAAACTAATGTTCCCAAATCTTGTTAAAGGGAACTTCCAGGCGAACATCCGTAATTATTGACCACCCAGGGAACACGTATTTGTCCGAGTCCATAACAGTAAGTAAGCATTTGTCGTCAGATGCGAACAACTTGCGTGCGGCTTCCCGCGCTGGTGAAAAAAATAACAAATCGAATAAACCACTATCGCAAGACTACAATTAAGATACCAACCCTCCTCGATATTTTCGACTCACTGGCGATTGATCCAATCAAGATTTTCAAGTCGATGTCGAATGATCAGATCTAAATTTCGCTGCTTTCCGCGGCGAGTACATTCAAGACAGAGTTAATAAATAAATTATGAATGCATCGGGTTGTGTGATTTCGCGAAGTTTACATAAATTCGTTCGTCTATGAGAAGCGATCATGCTACGACTTGTTGAAATAAGCTTACGTGACGAGACACCGCGTGAAAGGCGAGTGGAGTCACTTCGGAGAAGGCGATCAATTGCGGTCAGACTTCTTCTATTCAAGAAAGAATAAATGAAATTCTGATTTCCGTCCATGCAGCATGTCCATGATAATATAACATTAGAATATCATGGCTTGAGCATCGTGATACCAACAGAGAAAGGTTTTCAATGCGAACTCAATCAAACCGCATATTCGATTGTGTACTTTGGCTGCTTTTCAATAAACACGATAAAAATGCTATCAAAACTGTACAATACAAACCAGCAACAAATCTATAATCTCCTCCTTGAGCTGAAGTTCTGCTTCCAGGAATAACAACAATTTCATCATATTCTCGAATCTGGTTTGATCCCCGGGGCTGAAGAAGTCTCCGCTAGGAGAGAATGCCATGGCGAACAATACACTGGATGCGCGTGCTCGTTTCTGGAGTAGGAATGTCGAGAAGTCGGCCAGCGAAAACTGAAACAGGGAAAGCTTTCCTTGTCCACCGTCACATCTGTTGATAGTCGAGTTTTCGCACTCTAATGACGTGCAAAATTCTCTTTTGTTTGGCGGAACCGAACTTAATTGTCATTCAATTGAACTCAAACATTTGTTGTTACGTCAGCGCAAGTAGGCGTAAATTGTTATTTATGGCTCACTAGAGGTCTTGGCCTTTGTCTGGAACGTCCCAAACTTTCTCAACGGAAAAATGTGGAATGTTTCATCAAAGGCCAGCCGGTATCATGAAATTTTCAAGTGCTGAATTGCAATTTAGCTATCGCTTCCAAAACACTTTCGGCTTCGTATGACAAAAGAACTTTTCTCTTCAATTATGTTAGACAATGGAGCCGCAAAATTCAACCATTCAGCGCTTTGTGTGTTATGAATCGATATCTGCATGTCAAAATTTTTGAAAGACATTTCGAGAGTATGAGAATAAAGAACAATATTTAATTTCTTATCAGTTGGTTTTGGCGCTTATTGCTTCTAGCTTTACTGATAGCTACACCCCAATGATAAGGCAGCTAATATTTTACGTCATATCATTTCGTATCATAAACGTTGAGTAATCGCGAAAATTGGTCGTCGAAAGCTGACAAGGAACCGGATATCGAGGGGTCTGCAAAGAGATAAGAGACCAGGCATCTGAGTTTCGTAGCCTTCAAAGAAAACAATATATGTTTTTAGCAAAGTGGTTAATAAGCAGACTTTGTCGTTTGGATAAGATATTAGTAACCTTCTACTGACTGAAAAGGAAGCTAATGGACCTAATTGTTACAAAGGTTCAACAACAGCGAAAACAGCTTGCAGTAGGTGTAAAGAGGACCGGAAGAAGTAAGAAACAGGAAGAAGATTTTGAGGGATTTCCAATTTGAAACATTTATTTACGCCATATATTTGGCAGGATGCCGCAAAAAGTTTCTTTACTTTTGGTTCTTTTGAATAGATTGAACAAAAGATAAAAGAAGGGAGAAGATTTTTCAGCTAAGACATAAACCTGAAAAGGGAAAGTTCTGATTAGCAGGATGATAAAAAAAAAAATTAATGTGAGTGTGACTGAAAGATGGAATAGTTAATGATGTCGCTTTCAGAATGACAAAATTTCGCTTGACTGCTATTTCGGGTGATCACTGTATTCGAGAAAGTTCTTTCAGCGCGAAAACTCCTTTAAAATTTAACAGCTCTTTTCTACAAGGTGGAAGGCCAAATCGAAAACGGTCAGAACTGAGAACCGTGGCTGTCATTAACTGAAGATATCATTATAAACGTAAAGAGTATCGCCCCATCCACACTACGCCGGAGGAATTTGAAAACGCAGTTTTCTTCGGTTAGGCTTACCGTCCACACTAATATGAAAACGCAGCTTTTCGAAAGCGCTCTTCAAACCGGAGGAATTTGAAAACGCCGGCTTTTCGTTTTCTTGTGGACGGCTTTTAGGAAATGATGGCGTCACGATGGTCATGTGATTTCACTGACAGAGTTTTCCTCAAACACACTGCTCCAAAATGAACGGTCATAGTTGCGTTTTTAAATTCCTCCGGCGTAGAGTGAAACCTCCGTTTTCAAATTCCTCCAGCGTAATGTGGACGGGGCTTAAAGTTCAGTTTTAAAGAAGTATTATTGATTCTAAAAGAGCAGGAAATGTTTTCTCAATACCGCACGTTTTCAAATTAGAGTTGCCCATTGTCCGAACCATTTCTATCCTCGCGTTCGTTAGTCATATTTTCACTATCAAGGGAGGATGATCTATCGCTACCTAACGGGTCCTATTTTGCCTTCACTACACACCGAACACACTCAAAGGTAGAGACATAGGCGCGTTGGTCAGCCAGGCCCAAGATATGTTTTAATTGTGACAGTAAGCTTGCAACAAAGTGAATAACAGATACATCAAGTAACGTCCTACATGCGCCAAAGCCGGACACGTAAAACCCAAAACCTCTCGTTAGGAAAAATAGGGATCGTGTACCAATTAGACCTACCCAATTACAATTTTTTCATGTTGGTTCACCAACCCTTGCAGGAGGCACAGTTATTTATACTAAAGATACTCCTAAAACCATTCCCAGGCCTGAACTGAAAATAGATCTCCCATCAGTTGAATCATGTTGGGCTGAAATTGACCCTTGTAATAATAAGAAGTATACCGTAAATCCTCGAATTAGCGCCCCCTTCGAATAAGCGCCCCTCCTATCGGCCGAAATTTAAAATAAGTTCCCCCCTCCTCTTCCCCACCCCCCATTCTGTGGACGAGTAACGAGACAACAAAGGATGTATAGTTTTCGTCATGTAGATTTGTACATTGTTTCAGTTTGTGAACTCGTTAAGTAAACACGTTGAACACGTTAAGTAATAACGGTGCCGCGATTTCAACTTTAGGATCAGCTTGTTATGTCATTACGCAGCTTAGGTTGTTGTTTAAGCGCAGATGATGTCATAAAAAATGACCATGTCAGGCCACGATTTGGGATAAATTAAATAAGCGCCCCTCGATTAAGCGCCCCTCGTCTTCTCCTAAATTTGAAATAAGCACCCCGGGCGCTAATTCGAGGATTTTTACGGTATTATGATTGGCTGCATTTATAAGCACCCATCTACAAATGTGGATGAATTTACAATGATACTTGACGAATTCCTTGAACAATTAAATATGATCAAATATGAAGTATACATATTGGGGGATATGAATATTGATGTTTTAAAACATCACACACACACCTGCAAACAGGTAGATACCCTGACATACTTTGCTCCCATAATCTGTTACCACGGATAACAAAACCTACTAGAATCACTAGTCATCATATCTATACCGATAAAGTTAATAGGCCGATCTCTGGGGTTATAGATCATTTACCAATTTTCTGCACAGTTGAAACATCACTTAAAAAACAAAATGGGCAATTTTACTTCAGAGACTACAGCAAGTTTAACCCTGAAACATATCTTCAGGATATCCGTGTTGTTGATTGGGATGTCATCTTTGGTCAAAGTAATAATTTGCATGAAGCAACAGCTAGAACTATTGATACACTTAAATCAATTGTAAATAAGCATGCACGCCTAAAACAAGCGTCTAGAAGCAAACAAAAGCAATCACAAAAACCTTGGATCTCAATGGGAATACTGAAATCCATTAAAACTAAACATGCTATGTACAAGGCCCACTACCTATCTAAAGACCCAGTCAAAATTGGTGAATTTAAAAACTATTCACTGCAAATAGATTAAACCATCTCAAAAACATTAATAAGAAAGCCTACTTCTCTAAAAAATTTGACTTGTGTGAAAATAACTTGAAGGCTACATCGAAGATAATTGGTAATTTAATTAAGAGGAAGGCAAAGGGACATACCACACCTCAAAGAATAGTAAGGAATAACAAGACTGATAGACCTGCTAATGATGACATCGCCGATCAGATTTTTTTTGTTAATGTTGGCCCAAGCTTGGCCAGCAAAATTAAAAACAGCTATGGAAACTCTACCCAATATATCTGATCTCCAGCTAATAGTTTTGTTATGTCCACTGTTACAGAAACCCAGGTTTTAAGACATTTGTTTAAGCTAAGTTCCCAGAACTCTGTTCAGCGAAACGGTATAAATGAATTTTAAGGGAGTGGTTAAGCGGCTGTTTAATTCATTAATCAACACCATGCATAAGAATTTAAATGAAACAGACACGCCCTTAAAAATGATGAAATGCTATGTCGTCGCGCAATTTATTAGTTTATTTTAAACTGCGAGTAGTCAGTCTCTTTCTATTACTAGCGTGGAACGCGAATACATAAATATAAATGTACATAAATGCGAAGCAAAAGAAGAACGATTAAACAGCGAGAAGCGCTGACGTGGAAAGACGGAAAAAGAAAGTTTCTTTTCCTTCTTTACATAAATTTCATTGTTTAAATGGCGCGGGGGAATTTACGAACAAAACCAGAGTGCTAGTAGTCAAATATATTTAGGATGGTTCGTTTCGGCTTGGTGCGGGAGGGGGCATGGGAACAACTCCCTCTACATAACAAACATATCGCGCATTGGTGCCCTGTTTCTTTTTCGGATCTCTGTAATTTATAGCAACGAGGACAGTGCGTGGGAAAGCAACCAAGAAGAACTTCTCTTAGCCTTAAAAAGAGGTTTGTACCCTAATCTCTCTTGCAATGGGCGACGTTAGAGTCGAGGACGCCTAGAGCCTAGGCTGGTATTAAGACAACCTGACATTGGTCACGGACGCCGGACATATCTTTCTTGACCGTCAAGTACTTCACGTGACTATCACGCGCATGTCGCTTGAATGACACTTCTCGAAACATTACACATCGTAAATAAAATTATTGAAAATTATCTTTAATTAATAGTGTCTCAATTCTTTTAGTTAATAAATTAAGAGTAAACTGTAGTTTAACTTTCCATTTGAGGTTAAAATATAACTATTAGTATGGGGCTCGCTTACCCTTTTACCTAATTTTCTTGGAATTAAATAATTACTCACTTAAGCCAGACGATTAAATACTCTTTAAAAATTGATTAACATTACAATTTGCAATACTTTCCACTATCGGTTACGAATTATCATGCTCCCAATATAAGTTTTCCTCAGGTTACTATTTGCATTAGGCGAGAAATCAACAAACTTTTAAAAATAACGATCAGCATATATGGCTAAATGGTTTAGCACTGTTTGCACTTTTCAAAACGTAGTTCCTTCCGTTTGGGACAAAATAATTTCAAGTATCTTTGAGCAGGAACTTCAATATTTACTGACCTTGGTTTCGCTTTTATCAAAATAAAATCACCTTATTATTTTTATTTCATATTTTAACTTTGTTATTAGTATTATCAAATGCCGGCCCACTACGTCCAGAGGGTCTATAGCAAAAGTGAAACATTTTGTTCATTGAGGGCCACGAGTTTATCAGTGGCAAGTCTGTTTACCCCTAAAGTGTCAATCTAGTGAAATTAAACCTTTGCTTTACTTACTATACTGTTGTTTCCAATTTAGTTTCTTCGCTTGTTCTGGTGACCCCCACCACCTTCAAATACCCGAAGGAAGTCCTCGCCCCCTCCCCCCCTAAAAAAAAACACATTTTCAGCAGGTGTTGCTAAGCAACATGACGTAACACAAAGCCACGTGACAACTTTCGCTTCTGATTGAACAATAAGAAAAGAAAACTGCTCGGATGCTTTGACCACTGTTTTGTTCCCCAAACTGCGAATACGTACTTTTGTATAATTATTAAAAATAACCCGGTACTTATTTCCCTCAGTTAGCTAAGTCCTTCTTCAAAACGGAAGGAGTTACAAGTTACAACTTTTTTAAAATTATCAACCACGATTTGCGAGAGCCAGAGACAGATCAAGACGTTTAACAGTAGCCTTACAACCAACATCACAATTCTATTTCCCGAAACGGACAGAACTGAACCCTTTCACTCCAAAGGGTGACACAATGGGTTCAAAATTTAAAAAAATTCCCAAATTCTAATTTGTACAATGTTAAAACATGAGCAGCACCACGAAAGTACTGCTCAGTAGCTTTTCATTTGAATGGTCACACACTAGGATCCTAATAGTTAAAAGTTAACAAACTATTCTGACTGTCAAACAATTAAATTGACAGACTGTAATTATTTCTAATCTTCCCGATATACAACCATCCCAATTGGTTTATATTATAATAATCTGCTTAAGGTTTTTTTTTTTTTGGAAAAGAAATTTCTTAGCTTTGCAAAACTAATTTTTAACTGAAACACAGCCCCTTTGAAGCAGTAACAGCCGACTCCCTTGGATCAAATCACATTCACTGAACTTCTGATATCAAATTCGAAAGCTCTCTTTCTTCCCATCAATGTGCCTCAGTCGCAAATACACGTCCGTACCCAGGCCCTCCATGGAGTGCAGCTGAAGGGACCCTCCGAGGTACGTGGCATACGCCCGTGACGTAGGAAGGCCAAAGCCCCAGCCTGCCATGGGACCCCCGCTGGGTGAATTGTTTGGGTGCCCAGCGCACATTTCGGAAAACATATTTTCACTGTCCGAGGGTCTTATAGTGCTACGGTCTCCCATGGTGGTAAATGAATACTTAAAGATGTCCTGGAGCTTGGATTCAGGAATGCCTCCTCCACGATCAGACACCCTGCGATGAAAAGCATTAAAAAAATTACTCATTTGTATTCACACAGAAAAAAAGTTTCTAGTTTAAGGAACAGTGTCATCTGTTTTTCAAGGAGCTCAGTCGCGATATTTTCAGTTATTTTGTCCCTGTACAAAATTACCTTTAAATTAAAGGAAACCTGAAAATAATAGTCTACAAAGATCGAAAAACACCAAAGAGAAAATAATAAGCTATAAAAGAACAAAGATGGTTGAGGATGGAGATGACTGACACGGATTACAAAAGACAAGCTTGAAAAATTCACGAACATGACTTCCAAAAGCTCAAAAACCAAGAAAAATTAGGAAACCAACATTCAACGATGGTTTGAATGTGAAATACAGTACTTAATAACAGTTTAGGACGTAAGGATAAAAATTAATGTTAATGTAACGATGGTAGGGATGGTTAATGGATTAAAATATGGACAAAGTTCACGGTGAAACCCTAGTTTCGTGTTACAAAATACAAGTTTTGCTCACTTTCTTCATTTAGCTGAAGTTCATAAAGACGTCATTTCATAAACTCTGGAAATATATTTTTTTTGTGCCTTTTTTCATTTTTCAAAAAAAAAAAAACTAGCTGGTGTTCATTTGCCTTATGAGCTGCAAAGACTAGGCAAGGTTGAGTGACTGAGTGCATGTGAGTTTGTTTTGTATAAGATGTAGTCCACTATAGTTGTTGTTACCTGACAAAGAATTCTGTGTCATTACTGCACAAGGTGACGACAATATTTGGCACCTCGAGAGGCGTGTCAAGGTGGTGTTCCACACTGGCTCTGAAATGAAAAAAATTTTGCATGAGAATACAGCAAACAACCACATATCATAAATAAGAACCTATGATTTCGGAGTTCAGGCTGATCAAGTTCTTATTTACCAGGTGCTTAGTGCAATATCAGCCTGAAAATGTTCTTAAAATTTGTTTCAGAAATACTACTCTTCATACATTACTAAAGATGTCATTAACATACAATGTTAAATTACTTAGAAATACACTAAAAAATAAATTTTAAATACCATAGAACTTTAATATGAGTGGTTTCTTATTCAGTCATCCTCTTTCTTTTCATATAAGAACATGTTTTATTTATCAGGCTGAATTGGTTCTCAATTATATGGTGCTTTATTGGCCAAGTCTTTCAGCCTGATGTTCTAATTCCACTTGTTCTTACATATGGGTGTTTACTGGATCTTTCCATTTTACTCTTTCCACTCGGTCATGAGAGAGTGGTAGAAAGCAATGTTTCATGCACCTGAATGGACAAGGCTGGGAAAATGTCTTCAGAAGTCAAAGATTCATTAATTTACCTCATGGCATTTTTCAGAAGTTCCTGGAGAATGTACTCCAGTGGCGCAGGAATGTAAGGGAAGACTGCTTTTGTGTGGCCATTAACAATAAGGCCTGGAGCTACACCATATGTGTGTTCACAGACTTGCCTGAAAAAGAGAAATTAACTCCTTTGAAGATGCATACTACAATAATTACCATAGTATTCTGCCACTTAACCATAGGGTATTAAATAATAAGTTAAATTATTCTCACTTTACAATTGGAGGACAGACACATAGATGATGTCATTAGCATTCTTTGTGTTTCTTTATTATAAAAAAACAAGTAGATTCCAATTGTTACCATGCATCTGTTCTGTAACAGATCACAGAAGAGGTCATATCGTAGTAAGAACATCAGTGACACACTTGGCTATTGCCTCGTGTGCCACTTTTGTGTTGACCACATTTTGATGTCCTCTGTGATCTGTTACTGAACAGATGCCAAGCAACATGCAATCTATTTGTTAAATATACTACTTCTGCAAAGTCTCACTCCTACCAGTTTTCTTTCTACTGATGAGGAGAAAAAGATACAAAAGTACCTAATATTAACTTAGTATTACTATATGGTAAGGTAGTCTTAAGGTAAATCCAAGCATTGTGATTGATTCTTTCTTAGTCAGGATTTTGCTTTGCAGATTGTTTTCATGGAAATGGTCATAAGCCCTGTATTGTTTGTTTGTTTGTTTTTTTGGAAAGCCAGCACTGAAATTCAAAATTTGCAACTTCTGTAGAGTGCCAAGGCAAAGTACATGTATATGCCAGCGCAAAAAGAAACAACTGCCCATTGACCCAAAAGACATAGACATTGGGCAGTGATAGCATCACCACAAAAATTAACAAAGAAAATGACGGTTACAAATTAATTTTACCTGGCAAAATCAGCAGATCTCTCAACAATTTGTCTAAGGTTAAGGTGAGTACAAATAATCCCAATGTAGTTTGGCTGTAAATGAAAATGAAAATAGTTATTTGGCATTCAAGTTTGATTAATAGAGAGGACATGTTTACTTTGACCAGGATAATTTTCTAAATTAAATCAAGAGCTGAGATTTTCCTGGACATTGGAAATGGTCATATACAAACTACATGTAAGTTGTCTCTTAAGCTTGGAATGGCTTCTGCTGTAAATACTGATCACGTGAAAACTCTCTAATGTCTGCTTACTCAATATAACACCACCAGCTATTTTGTCAAGATTGTTAAAAATGCACGGAAATTATTTTATGACATATGTAGGAATGGTAAATTACATGGAGGACAACATAAAGAACTGTAAAATATTGCAACTAACATATCAGCAATTTTAGAATAAAAAATATTGTGTTCCTACTCTGGAATCATGAATAAAATATAAAAGAAAAAATTCCTGTTCTCAGAGCGCAATTAAAAATGTTATTAAAAGTGGAATATTTCATTCAGTTCCAGCAAACTTCATCAGCCACAATAAGTGTGAAGAAGGGTTACATGATGTTCATTATGGTCTTGAAGGGGCTAAAATGGTGTCACAGATGTTGGCTAATTCAAAGCCATTGTCTCTGTTCAAAGAGGGCTTTCATAATCAGATCTCAATTGTCTCCTTTATGTGACGTTTGAACATGTTGCTTTCCGTGGCAAGAACCTTTGTTTTGCTAGAATCCACTGAATGTTCCGTGAGCTAGCAATGTTCATGAACAGCTGACAAATTCCTTGACAGATGTTCCTTCACTTTACTTTCTAATACACTAGAAGTTTTGCCAACATATTCTACTTTAAGTTTGTCACATTGTTTGCAATGGATGTAATAGACTGTTCCACACTTTTTAAGATTTTCTGTTTATCCTTAACACCTACTAGTTAATAGTTTAATGGATGCAATTCCAAAAGATTTCCACCAGTTTACCTTATCAATGCTCAGAGCGAGGTGATGTTCAGCCAACATGCGGATTCCAAGTCGAGATGTCAATGTACGATTAAGAAAAGCATCTATAATTTCATACTGCGAAAACAAAACTACTCATAACTCAAACTTGCATCTATAAGTTTACATTTCAATGGGATTACCAGGTGCGGATCCATATTGGTCTCCACTGTTTTACAGGAATCGGTCAGATTTTTCAGAATGACACAGAAACCCAATAAAGGGGACTTGACAGAGTTAAAATCCAAAACATTTCCTGTGGGAGTATTGCCCCAAGACCCCTCTAGAAGCCTGTGCATTCAACGCTGGTTGTTTCAGACATCGTCACCATTTATCCTAGATCCCCACCTGATAATTGCCAAGATCGTTTTCATCCTTCCCTTCAAAGTTCCACCCCTCAAATGAAGAATCTAGTATTTGAAATGAAACTCAATACAAAATTCAAATTTCACTGCATTAATGATCTCTAGGTCGACTTATTATGCATATAAAATTAGAAACAAAACGTCTTGCCTCTCTTTTGATGCTGTACAAGGAAAGTGAATAGGTGTGAACAGTGACAAATAGTGTGAACAGCTACATCAATGGTACAATGTGGAATACAGGTAGTCATGATTAGTGGCAACTAGTCAAGGTTAGCATGGGTTAAGTACTACTGTACATTTAGCCTGAGCAGCACTCCAGTTATCCCATAGTACATTGGTGGCCTCAATATCACTGACTCAACAGTGGTTAGCCCTCAATAATAACAATTATTGTAAGCCTGATTTTTTTTTAGTAATAGCGACAAATTGCCACCATTTGTGTCAGACCATTCATCACCTCTGCAACATTTGTGACCTTCACTAATCTTAATTGGCCATTTGCTATTCAGGTTTTCCACACAACCATAGACAACATTATGTAATTTCTAGGCAACCTGCCAATTGTTTTGCAAACTCTTACGACATACATGTATCTGCATGGTGGTAAACAAAAATTCCACTGTGATATGACGCCAAACAAGGAAGTCAAAAGAACAGCAGGATAAGGAGTCAGATGTGGTTGTGTTATGTCATTGGAATGAACCATCATGCACACCCCCACGTTACAATACAGCTGTAAGTGCCATAAGGCAGAAGGAGAAGAGGCTGTCCACCAGAAACCTGGATGTTCCAGATGGAGATGGATTGAAATATCTTGGCAGACATGGCAGCTGTTAGTAGCAGCAGACAGAGCAGTTTGAAGATGCTTTGTTGTAGCCGAATAGGCCATTTCTGAGCTACTTTGTACTTCTGTTTTAAATCATGTCCTCAAGAAAAACCTTTCATATGAAAATGAGTTTGATTTGCATGAAAATGAACCTGCAGGCAGAATGCATTTTCATAAGACCAATTTTACACAGAGGCAAAAGACAACTTGGAAATTATTCTAACCTATTCCCCATATCATTGTAATGTAGAAGGAATGGTCAATGATGATGATATTGACTTACCGGTACGTTCTTCTGACATTCATGGAATCCCTCAGCCAGATGAGTCACGACACTTTGATGATCGTCCAAGAGCTGTCTGATTGTTCGATTGTATCTTTCCTCTCCTTCAAGAGTTTCCACCTGTAAAATACAGTAGAGCAAACTATTACCATTCAACTATCCAAGCGAAAATGTCTTATAGACTACAAGTACTGTATTTTCAGAAGCTACAGTGTAATCTTGGATACACCTACTTTATTTAACTGATAAAGCAGGATATCTGCATTACATCCATGCTCACCACGTACATGTATGCATATGGATAGAGCATAAAAGTATGAACCACCACCCATCTCCCAATAGCTGACTATACCTCAGTGATACAGTGTCAAATTGGTCATACATGTAGGTTTGAATTATGATAGGAGATTCTGGAATATTTCGGTTAAAGTACTGTCAGATAGTGGGAGGCGCGGTGGCCTCATGGTTAGTGCGCTCGTCTCCGGATCGAGCGGTCCAGGTTCGAGCCCTGGCCGGGGTCATTGTGTTGTGTTCCTGGGCAAGACACTTTACTCTCACAGTGCCTCTCTCCACCCAGGTGTATAAATGGGTACCGGC